ACAGCAGTATCCTTCACTATGTTGTATAAGAACGACCAGTCACACGATTAGTACTGGTCTTTACGGGTAAATACAACGTTTCCTATTAATTAAAGAGCTTTGGATTCACACAGGTTTACTTGGCTTTTCGATATGAGTTGATTGACGGGAACATATCCTAAGAGACAACAACTGATGATTGATTCACTGATCTGGTAGAAAGCGACAGTACAGTGTCTTATGCAAGTATCCACACTGTGTTTTGAGAGAATAATAAAGTTAGCGTTACACTTTACATCACGTGTCTAGTCTGTTTATTTTCTTAGCTCAAAAACTCAATCCTTTAGCTAAATGCAGATTTACTTCATAATTTTCCTGGTGGATCCACGCATTATAAAGCAATGTTAGCTAATACTCGTATGGAAATCAGTTTCTTCTGAGAATACCACAGGATAAATGGAAACTCGCCAATCATAACATGTCATTGCAGTTGACTTCAATGTCGTTAGTAGAATATGAAAATTCTTCCAACTCAGTGGTGTGGTACTTGGAAAATTGTCATATTTTCTTTTTCTCTCAGAAAGATTAACTATTTAGTTTACTAAAATTTTCAAAAATCTTAAAGAATGCGTGCTTTACACTCCAGAGTGCTTACAAACTTTTACTTATGGGGAATTTTTCTTCTACATTACTAATTATATTTCATGTGCTAGTTACACATGAATAAAGTGTGTGGCTCATTTAGGTATTTTTTGGCTTTCTCACGAGATTTTGTATCTACTGCTTCTTGTAGCATCTTCAATGTTTTGGGGATAATAAAATTTGCTTTTTTACTCTTTTAATTTTGTTCGTATCTTTTTTTACTTCAAACTCAGTAGTAGTTAGATAAATTCCTGGCGTTTCTCTAGTTATTGGGGTTACTATTTTGACCTGGTACGATTGTTCGGACATCTGGACAAAACAAACAATCATCCAAGACACAAGACAACGACTACTATATGTCAATTTTAGTTCATCGTATTCGTAGGACATAGAAACTGGCGTTAAATCGAATGTTCGTTGATGCAACTAGCTGTTGTGCCAGTATACAGATGGTTAAAGACAGGCAATGGTGCGCAGATTAGGTCCAGTAGGCCAACGACATATGGAGTTTTATCCTGCAGCGAGATACTGTCCGATATTCATTGGAAGAGAATTCCGAACCAGATCCACTCCATTTTCATTTATGAACGTGACGCATGGCAGTGTTAGAAGTATGGTGTGAGCAGGTAAAAAAGATTTGTGAACGTACCAGCCTTTACATCATTAATATCTCACATGACAGAAACCATAACTAACGATCCTTTGTACCACCACTATGATAAATTGAATGACACATTCTTGAAGAAGAAGAAGTTGACCAAGTAGCACTTCTTTCAGACTCACAACATTTCAGTCCCATGGAATACTCTTAGAAAGTGCGTGATATTTCGTCAAATGACTATGAACATAGTTCTTTGATAGGATAGTCGAGAATAACTCATGACTTTGTGAACACACTGGTCTTCAAACAGTACCAGGCTGCGCTTGATGTTCATAGTGAGAATGCTGAAGTGAAACATCATGAATTGGAAGAACATAAAAACACATCGACCAACTGTTCAGACGTTGATTGAATTGTCAGTCATTTACATTTTATATCATAAGATTGATTATCAGATGTCTGATTTGCAAATTCACTGAGAGGTGATTGACATTTTATAACAGCGGCTTTTCTTTATCATATCTATAAATACTGAGTATCCTTTATTTGTGTTTATCAGTGTGTATTAACTATTTCAATGAAAAGAAAAGATTGGAACTCAAAATTCAATGAGTAAACTGTTTTAGAAATATCACTAACATCAGCTGAGGTCATCCAAAATATACTGTTACGTCTCCGTTCGTTAGTTAATTTTCAGTTAAAACTCTTACCGAAGAAACTTTACCGATACAAGTCCTTTCTTAAATAAAACTGGTATATTCTTTCTGAATATAACTTTGCGATACACTTAATTTCAACAGTCGCGCTATAACAAACGCTATAATTCTCAACGAACGTCTCACGTGCTCAACAATATTCTCTCTCCGCAGTTCAATTACACATTGTTGCCGTCACTTTGTGACCGTCTTATATATATACAAGACTACACTATATCTAGAAGGATCTCGAGATTTAAGGAAGGGACGTGAATGTTCGAGAAGGACGTGGCGTGATACTAGTCACGTGACCTCCGCTGACGCAACACTACATTGAATATGTTGAAAAAAAAAGACGTATGTACAGTATACCCAAGTGATTAAAACTTCGAAAGACAGTGTTTTGGGTCTAAATCTTTCCTTAGTATGTACTTTTTATAAAGAAATAGTAAACTATCTAAAGGTGTGGATTAACACAATATTATAAAGAGGTGTTCATAGGGATAAACTTAAAAACATGTTATTAAAAACAGTACAGAGACGTCTGAACCGGGGGTGTTATAGCACCCCCACTTTTACATATTTGACTTATATATAGCAACTGTAAATTATATCATTATATTAATTATCTGGGGGACATGCCCCCAGTCCTGCATAGATTGAGCTTTTAGCAGCTCCTTATACTTTCAGTCTCTCGTTGTAAAATTTGCATGTCTAGTCAAACACCCCCACTTTGAAACTCCTTCCTACACCACTGTAATATATTTGTTAATCACACATACATACACCTAGTGTATTAATATTTTCATCTTGGAGATAAAAACATACAAATAAAACTAAATATTATAATGTTTAAAAGTACCAAATACTTCGAGAAGGAAACTCATACACAAAAACACCACATTTTTCTCCGCAATTGCTTACCCATACAGTCTTATAATATTTATAATAAAATAAAATTAGTATTTACTGGCATGAACAAAATAGAATAAAAATAAAGTGAGAAAGTTAAGTCAAATCGCATAGCATTTTAGAAGAAAACAGAAAGAATAATAACCTGATAAATTTGTCTTTATTGACCAGAGAGAAGATAGCCAGTCAACATCACTTTCTAACCCACCATTGATTGTCACTCTTATAACTCACCCACAGTTTAAAGTACGGGGAATATTTTGAGGTATCCAAGGGGCTCAAACCCTTCTTACCACCTTCTTCTACAATGTCTTCTGGAGTTACACATCGTTTTATGTTTAATAATTATCAATAACCTCTGATCAAAAGCAAGCAAATGAATAGTTTTAAGGATGGTTAACATTTACAATTAACAAGAATAATGAAATGCTCCTGTGGGTCAGCAGCAAGTTCTTTAACTCACAACCCTAAAACCGGGGGTTCGATTCCTCACAGTCATCCACCGAAAGAGCGCAGATAGTCCATTGAGTAGCTTTGTGCTAAAACCCAACAACATTTAATAATGGGATAGAAAGACTTTTGAACGAAATCTCTCACTCTGTATATACGTATATATAAAAGTTTTGATATACATAATCTTAATTTTATGTCTGACTATTTACGAAAGAATGAAATTGCATCAGTTACGATGCACGATAATAATTAGTCTAGTATTTCTTTCTTTACGGTACGAAAAGTGGTGCCATTTTATATATTCGTTTTAATGATAAATAAGCTAATTTTTGGTTATTTGAACTTGATAGTTTAATTTAATATAATGTATTTTTTTATATGATTAAACAGAATTCTTCAGACAAACTAACGTTCTAGACAGAAAAGGAAACAATTTTTTAAAAATATGTTCTATAAAGGAAATGAGCTTTCTCAAGGAAATAAAGTATTTTTTGGGTAAAGCTGGGGCAAATGGCACGACGTAATGCCTATCAAAAAGTAAGGTTTGTAAAACATATAAACAACAGCTTGTAATAAACGTTACCTCTGGAAACAAGTGCGTAAAAAAAATTAATTGCCTACAAGTAAACAAGAAATTGAACCTGTACCTTTGCTTACTAAATTTTCGGGTATTGCCCCGATTGCTCAGCCACTTACTTCTTCTGTACTTCCACGCTTTGTGATACTAATGACTCATGTGATAAGCACTTGCTACAGCATACTTGAATGCAATTGTGACTCATACGCACGCTTGAGTTAAACTGTTAAAAAGACAATATTCATAGGAAGAGGTTTGAGTCAAGTTATAGAAACGCAACAACACTTGGAACGTTGAGAAAACTGCTTTCACCAGCTATTAACAACTGAATTGTTTGAATATTCTTTGAATACGAGTCGACCCTACAATACAAATTTTAATGTAAAGGTAATTCTGTTATTCCACAAAATAAGAGGGGGAAACATTATTGGTACTTATTTGTAACAGCGACCAGGTTAACTTATCATCAATGAACTATATCAAAGCTTTCAAAATGGCTAGTGAACACACACATTTGTCACTGTAAAACCATAAATGTGTACACATTTCTTATAGGTAGAACCAAATAATGTGCAAATTAATACGACAAAATAGTTAACTTGGTGTTAGCATTAATGATGGAAGGTGTAACCACTTTGAATATTGTGTAAACGCGTTCAATTGTCCTCCTCAAGAGATGATTCACTCATGTATAGAATACCTGGAAGTTGTATAGATTCTGATAATACGCGGTAAAATATACAATATTTTCATGTTAGTAGAATCAGCAGTTTTAAGCCTAAGTTATTACGTGTTATATAACTTGAAAAGTTTGAAAGACATTGAAGTCTAGAAAGACACTGCTACACAAACTAGAATATTCGTAGATACTGCATTTTACCTACTTTAAAAAAAGTAACATTTAAACTTCTCACATAAAAAAAAGTTATTATCCCAAATATTATACTGCAAAATTCTCAGCTTCCAAGATATAACTGAACTTTAATACAAGTTGGGAAGGGAGACATAATACGTTATGTGAAATCAATTATTAAAATATATTGAAGCTACCGTATTATAAAGAGAAATATTTTGTTAAACAAAAAAAAATTAACACGAATTTTATATTCTCTAGAATGTTATGTTTACATGCAAACCCCACCTTTAATTGTCGTTGCTTTAAAGGTAAAAACATTCCTTCAATTGCAGTTGCTGTGTATCCACATCATCTTACGATTATCTATACATTCGTTGGCATAACAGTGTTTTATCTTAGAACGATGCCAGCTGATAAGAAGACACAATAGTTTTTAAACGTATGTTCTTTGTTATAAAGTGTGTCACGGGATTTACCAGTGCAGTACTGTACTAACACAAGCCGAACACAACCTCTGTTCTTCGAATCTACGCGTACAGAAACTTACCGGTTCATGAGTCACATAGCCTGCTTCCACATATAATTCTGATTGCGTGGAGCTGTCAGGTGTGACGGTAGAGGACAGTGACGTAAAACAGGTGGGGCAATTGCCCAGGACCTAGACGTTCGAGTATCTGAAGGGCCCAACTGATATTACCCCAATTTTATATAAAAAGAAAAAAGTAGTAATGAAACAATTAGATACTAAAATACGACTTTGGCAATGCTGAAAATAACAATAACTCAGTCTGTTTTTGTTTTTTCTCCACGTTCTTTGTTTGCTGAGAAGACTTCCAACCCCCTCTCTATGAATTGTCATTAACCTGACAGATGTGTGAAAAACAAAGTTTTCAAAATAGTATACTGAGTAAAAACAACTTACAAATTTAGAAATACATTATATATAATTACAAAAATAGTTAGATACTACTAAAACATAGAATTATTACAACAAGTGGAAACATTTATAATAACTTTTACAGCAATACTGAACACTACAGTGACAATTCGATTTAGAAGAATTGAGTTGATAGCTTGCTCAGTAAATATTAAATATAACGATAAAACACGATTAATATCTTTATAATTAATTTACCCACCGAAATCTAAGTATATATAATTAACGGCCAAGTTTTCAGTCATCTCTTGTTTGTTCTACGTTAAGTTATCTGCTGTGACCACCGCGGGGAATCGAACCCCGGATTTATTGTTGTCTCACTGAGGGACTCGTCTCTGGTTTCAATGAAGTTGTCTTTATTTTTCTATTTTTTGGACGACAAATTGAACAAAGTCTCAGAAACATTCGAAAAGTTTGAGATATGCATTTCTCAGACTTTTTGTTGTTGTTCTTGCGGTTATCTGAAATGAAATAAATCACCCAAGTGTCCACTGTCAAACAATTGACCATTTGCTTATTGCTGAGAACATTTCCTTAGTACAGAGTTTTCAGGATGCGTGCACAACTTGCGTAATGTTTTTAACCATCCTAGTGACAAGCGCAGAACAGAAGTGTCGTTTACTAAGAGGTAAAGAGTCAGTTGCCTCCATTCAGACCTTGTTTTTCCCTTTCTCAATCTTTGCAAGACACAATTATGTATAAAATGATGAAAATTTCTTTCGCAAATGAATTAACGAATGTCAATTTTTCAAACCCCATTCTTTCCTTATCTAACCGGAAATGCAGTTGGTTGCTATGTGATGTAATCGCACACGCCAAGAGTCTTAACGCGTCAGTAGGCATTCATATACTTGATTGATAGTACATTCTGGGATAAGGTTACATCATCAAGTGATTATACAGAGATTACACATTACACTATATTCAGTAATATTGCATTCGGATATCATGAAACAAAGGAAAATGCCGGACATATCGGCGACTGAAGAAGGACAGAAGATATTAGGAATTCTGTCCATCAAGAGGAATTGACTAAACAGGTCAACTTCAAAGGATCCATTGATATGTTTTGAGCAGAAGGTACGCATGAGAAGTTTCGAATAATTGTATCTGTTACCATTATTGGATTATAGTCATTTTGGTTCTCGTATCACGACTGTTTTATTTCCCGGAAAGGGGGCCGCAAACCACCTGGAAGGGTCACCTATTTTAACCATTCACACCATTATACCTACATATACAGTAATGCGTTGTCTGTCAGTCAGTCAGTAGACACCAAAATTACTTCAAATAAGGGACTATTAACGATGTACTATTGTGACGTCAGTAAAACGTGCGCATGCCATGAATCACGAGAGAATTAAGCACTCTGTAGGTTACAACACAGCATGATATATGAATTT